ATTTACATTTTGATCATTTAAAAATGTGGCTTCTTAGCCCATATCTTCTTGGGATATTTACTCACTTTTATCTGTGTTTGTTATTCTATTTTTAATTTCTAATTTTTTCATAATTCTTTTTTTTCACAATTATTTTTATCCATTATTCTTTTTCTTTTACTCTTTCTTTGTTTATCTTTTTATTCCACTTCACTTTCCTTTTTTTTTCTTCCTTTCTTGTTGTTCTCTGAGATCACTACTTTTGATACAATGGTTTTATATGTCTTGTTACAATGTATTAGTAGGTGTGCTCTCAGGATTCAGGAGTGCTGATTGGGACAGGTGTTCTTTATTAACTAATACTTTTATAAGACAGCACTTTTGTTGTTTTCTTTGTTGTTTTCTTTGTTATGATTAAGCACGAGATCCTGTGAAAGGAGTTAACAAGTCCTGTATTCATGTCCTGGTGTTTTGTGTGTCCGATGGATCAATAAATACACACTATATTCATCTATCCTCCAGTCTGCAGCTGACCTTTCTTCCTATTGCATCGTGTGTGGTGGCGAGCCAGAGCCTGCACCTGCTGTGGATTGTTTGCCTGAGAGGTATACCTTTTGTTCTTATCTCTCGCCTAGACTACTGCAACTCCCTCCTCATTGGCTAACCTTTACATAGGCTATCCCCAGGGGCGTATTTACCACAAGGCAAACAAGGCATTTGCCTAGGGCAGCATTTTTAAAAGAGGAAGCACTGGCCCCTGGAAGAAGAGACAGAAGAAGGGACACACACGTGGCATGGGGACCAGGTGGGAACCGAGAGAGACTGCAGACTGCTTAACGGTGTATGTACAGTCTGACTCTCATTCCCAGGAATGTTCGGAGCTGTAAAAGTGAGTGTCTTCTCTCTCTTGCCAAGGGGTTGAGTGTCTGGTGTATGGCGGGTGATGATAGTGGAAGGCTCTCTTGGGCGGGGGGACAGGACTCTCTTAATGGGGGAGGGGTGTGGCTGCCAATTTTTGTGTTGCGTAGGGCAGCACAAAACCTAAATACACCACTGGCTATCTCCCCTCCAGTCCATCATTAATACTGCTACCAGGCTCATCCACCTTACAAACATTCAGTGTCTGTTACCCCTCTATGCCAATCGCTCCACTGGTTTCCACTCACCCAACAAATAAAATTCAAAATACTAACAAAGAACTTACAAAGCTATCCATAACTCTGCCCCACTGTCAGGGTCCTGTCCACGGAAGAAGTTCTGGAAGATCTGGCATTCCTACCAGTACCCTGCATGGCCGCAGAAGCACACATTAGCCTCAGTTTGGTGCCAGACAGCCTTTATAAGGAGGCTCATCACTTCGTCAAGTTGCTGGATGATCTCTAGCTCCCTGTGCCTTGTTCCTGTTTCCTGTGTTATTGTGATTTCCTGATACCGACTCGGCTTGCTCTTGGACCTGTCTCTCTGCTTAACCCCTGATCTGACCTCGGCTTAACTTACGGGTGTCACGGATCCACGGTCGCCGCCACCAACATGCGACAATCGCACGACCGCGACTAACAGTAATATGTCACGCCCACGGCGTCAGACCCCAGACCTTCTCACCAAACTCGTGACCGAAGGACCGGCCGATCTAAAACCGCTGTGTGACGCGTGCAACAAGGCCCCACCCAGCTGCACCCTGCACAGCGATTGTCCAGCTAATGGGCTACAATCGGTGCCTGCAGCCTGAATGCGCTTGTTACTGGGTCAAGTTAATTACACCACTAACCCTTCACCACCGTCTTGAAATGTACAGAGAAGACGGACTCTGTCAGAAATACACTATAATGATTGAAAAGTCACCTGTCCAGTATGGTCAATTGGGCAGGTAGTAAACAAACACAGTAGCGTCTCTTCAAAAGGCAGGAATTCGTGAATTGCAGGTAAGCGCTTAAAAACAGTTTAATACTTTCAGAAATAAATATTTATTACTAAAAGAGTCAAACAGGTGCAATAAAATATTTACAAGAGATACACAAAAAAAAATATATATATATGTATATAAAGACACAGCAAAGAGATAATTAGGAAGGAAATTACAGGGTTAAGTTACTTGCCCATATGCCTGGGTTTGCAGATCCAAGTTGCGGAGCAGGACGATTCTTTATCTCCTCCTTCGATGTTAGCTGGGAGATCTGTGTGTTGCTCTAACTCACTTGTCTCTTCTTAAAAATCCCTCTCAAAGGGGAGGGGGGCTCTGACTACACGTTTTGGGAGTGGTCATTGGGAAACTCTGAATTAAACTACAGCTTCATAATCAATGACATGAAACATACGGTTGACCTGAGGAATGTTCAACTCTCTTTTAAGTTCGGGAGAGAAGCTATCTTATCTTGATTACGATGGGGGAGAAGGTACATGTTCCAGCAGACTGCCTGGTACCTGGCTGATCCACCCCATCTGTCAGGAGATAACGTTTCCCTCTCAGGACTGGAGGGGGTGGGGAATGAGGGCTGAGAAATAGAAAATATCTTGAATAAAGAGAAAAAAGGGTTGAAGGAGAACTCCGCTCCAACTCTGATGAGCTAGTTTGCTACAACGTGTACTCTCACTCTCGCTCCTCTGTGTATTACCTCGGCTATCCCATCTGACTACATCTGCTCTGATTCCCACCTGGTACTTGACCTTGGCTTGAACTGGCTATCCAGTAAATCTCTAATTCCTGGAAAGGGCTTGCATACTTTGCATAGGCGCCACCTGTCTGCAGACCTATCTCTGTACATCAGCTGTGCTTCTGGGTGGACCACCAACCAGCACTCCTACAGGCGACCTGTACCACTTTGGGCCTAACTCCCGCTGTCCCACTCTCAGGGGAGTCTGGAACTTAGCTGCAAGGGAAACCCTCTCTCCATTGGCCTCCATCACCAGGTACGTGATACCCCAGCTACATCACCAACCTGGTATCAAAATATCAACCAAACCGCTCTCTTTAATCCTCCCAAGATCTTCTGCTCTCTAGTTCCTGTGTCACCTCCTCCCATGCTTGCCTCTAGGACTTCTCCCAGGCTTCTCCCATCCTATGGAACTCCCTACCCCAATCTGTCTGGCTATCTCCTAATCTATCCACCTTTAGACTATCCCTGAAAACCTTTCTCTTTAAAGGAGCCTATCCTGCTTCTTACTAGTAAACTGCCATTTATTTCCTCCATCAGCTCATTCCCCCACAGCTATTACCTTTTGTATCACTCAACCCTTCCTCCTAGATTGTAAGCTCTAATGAGCAGGACCCTCTGTTTCCTTTTGTTCCAAATTGTATTGCTACTGTAATGTCTACCTTCATTTTGTAAATCACTGTGAAAGCTATTGGTGCCGTATAAATCCTGTATAATAATAATGCTGGCTGATGGAGGGAATTTAGGACCCTGTTAGGAATGGACTGGCCAGCAATGGTGGGACTCACCTGCCTTTTGATCTGCAGTACCAGGGCTGGCCAGCGGGTGCTCCCAGCAATCAGAGACTCAACCTTTCAGCCAGCTAACACCTGGAACTGATGATGCTGGGGTATTTAAGGGATGGCCAGACCCACAGACTCTGCCTTGGTGTTGTGTTTGTCCTGGGCCCTGTATCTGTCCTGCATCCTGTTTCTGTCCCTCTGTCTGACCCTCTGTACTACACTGCTTGTTACCTGTTTTGATCTCTGGCTTGTGACCCTGACCATTCTCTGCTTGCTCCCCCTGTACCTACCTGCCCAATTGATATTGACCCGGCCCTGCCTGACGACGCTTGCTTGTATGTACTGTTATCTGTGGGTGGTTTGGTTTGGTTTGTTTGCACTGTATTATGTTTAGTATTGCACTGCGTTTATGTTTGTATGGTTAGTGTTAATAAATTGTATTGTTTATCACATATCTGAAGTCTGCGTTTCCCTGCATCAGTCACACACCTCTGGTCATACCTGGGAGCCCTGACATTACACCAAGGCCAATCCTGACCAGAAGTGGCTGCACAGGGAAGCCATCTTGGCTTGTTGATGGGAAGGATGGATCTTGATGAGGTTGAATATTTATATCTGCTAGTGTTTGATGACAGGGAGTATGCTTATCAAACTCTGAAGGAGTATACCCGATATGAACTGCTAGAATGTATACGGCTCGCTCATGTTCTAGTAGATCAGGGCACAGAGTTCTCTGAGGTGCAGCCTTTGATTGAGGTTTGTGCTGAGTTGGTTTCATCTGGTTCCCCCGAATGTAGGGATGAATTTTTGCCACCATTTAGTGCAAGACCAGGTAGAGTCCCTGGTGTGGTTATTAGAGGATGATGTGGGTTACTTTCTGGAGCGTTATTCCACATGTTCACCACAGACACTAAGAGATTGTATAAACGCAGTGCAGTCATTGACCAGACAGGCTTTGTGTAAGCTCAGCTTTGTTCAACCCATACTGCAGACATGGACAGATTTGTTGCACCCAGCCTCAGTCAGCTTACAAAGACCCAGTCCTGCTTCTAATCTATTTCCTCAAAACTCTATTCCTGCATTCCCAACAGCTCCTCCTGCCCTGCTATCTACCGCATGTCAGTACCCTGTTCCCACTCGCTGCACCTATCCTGCCTTTAACCCTGTAAAAGAGCCCTCTGTAGCAACTGCTCCCTCTCCTGTTCCATCCTCCAGTTCTTCTCTGTCTCCAGCTGCTCCATTCGTTTGCAGACCTGCGTTTACTTGCAGTGCTCCAGTAGTTAAAACCAGAAAAAAGCGAAAATTCTTTCCAACCAATACCATCCTGCCAGTATCCAAACCGGTGAGCCTGCCTTCCGTGGTTCAGCCTGAAGCCTCTACTCGGCCTGAAGCCTCTACTCGGCCTGATGCCTCTACTCGGCCTGATGCCTCTCTTTGGCCTGATGCCTCTACTCGGCCTGAAGCCTCTACTCGGCCTGATGCCTCTACTCGGCCTGAAGCCTCTACTCGGCCTGATGCCTCTACTCGGCCTGAAGCCTCTACTCGGCCTGATGCCTCTACTCGGCCTGAAGCCTCTACTCGGCCTGATGCCTCTACTCGGCCTGAAGCCTCTACTCGGCCTGATGCCTCTACTCGGCCTGATGCCTCTACTCGGCCTGATGCCTCTACTCGGCCTGATGCCTCTACTCGGCCGGACGCCGGCATTCAGCCTGATGCCTCTACCCAGCATGATGAACTGATCCAGCCTGACGATCCTATTAGGCCAGTTGACTCGATGCCCGCTGTTGATCCAGATGATCCGGTACCTGATCCGGTGCCCGCTGTCGAGCCAAATGACCTGATGCCTGGTGACCCAGTGCCCGCTGTCGAGCCAGACAATCCGGTACCTGATGACCCGGTGCTCACTGTCGTGCCTGTTGACTCGGAGCCCACTGCCTTGCCAGATGACGCGGTGCCCGCTGTCGAGCCAAATGACCTGATGCCTGGTGACCCAGTGCCCGCTGTCCAGCCAGACGATCCAATGTCTGACCCAGTGCCCGCGGTCATACCAGTTGACTCGGAGCCCACTGCCTTGCCAGATGACGCGGTGCCCGCTGTCGAGCCAAATGACCTGATGCCTGGTGACCCGATGCCCGCTGTCCAGCCAGACGATCCAATGTCTGACCCAGTGCCAGCGGTCATCCCAGTTGACTCGGAGCCCACGGTTGTGCCCTGGTGACTCGGTGCCCGCCGCCCCCCGCCTGGGGGCCTGAGACCTGTCGTTCCGCCTGGGGGTCCGGCGCCCGCCACTCCGCCCGCCTGAGGGTCCGAGACCTGTCGCTCCGCCTGGGGGTCCGGCGCCCGCCGCCGCTCCGCTTGAGGGCCCGAGACCTGTCGCTCCTCCTGGGGGTCCGGCGCCCGCCGCTCCGCCTGAGGGCCCGAGACCTGTCGCTCCGCCTGGGGGTCCGGCGCCCGCCGCTCCGCCTGAGGGCCCGAGACCTGTCGCTCCACCTGGGGGTCCGGCGCCCGCCGCTCCGCCTGAGGGCCCGAGACCTGTCGCTCCATCTGGGGGTCCGGCGCCCGCCGCTCCGCCTGAGGGCCCGAGACCTGTCGCTCCTCCTGGGGGTCCGGCGCCCGCCGCTCCGCCTGAGGGCCCGAGACCTGTCGCTCCTCCTGGGGGTCCGGCGCCCGCCGCTCCGCCTGAGGGCCCGAGACCTGTCGCTCCGCCTGGGGGCCCGATGCCTGTCGCCCCGCCTGGGGGCCCGATGCCTGTCGCCCCGCCTGGGGGCCCCGATGCCTGTCGCCCCCGCCCTGGGGGCCCGATGCCTGTCGCCCCGCCTGGGGGCCCGATGCCTGTCGCCCCACCTGGGGGCCCGATGCCTGTCGCCCCTCCTGGGGGCCCGGCGCCCCGCCGCCCCGCCGGGGGGCCCGGTGCCTGCCCGGTCGCCCCGCCCGGGGGCCCGGTGCCTGCTGCTCCGCCCGGGGGCCCGGTGCCTGCTGCTCCGCCCGGGGGCCCGGTGCCTGCTGCTCCGCCCGGGGGCCCGGTGCCTGCTGCTCCGCCCGGGGGCCCGGTGCCTGCTGCTCCACCCGGGGGCCCGGTGCCTGCTGCCCGCCACCCGGGGGGCCCGGTGCCTGCTGCTCCGCCTGGGGGCCCGGTGCCTGCTGCTCCGCCCGGGGGCCCGATGCATGTCGCTCCGCCCCCCGGCCCCCCGGGGGCCCGGTGCCTGCTGCCCCGCCCGGGGGCCCGGTGCCTGCTGCCCCGCCCGGGGGCCCGGGTGCCTGCTGCCCCGCCCGGGGGCCCGGTCGCTCCGCCCGGGGGCCCGGTGCCTGCTGCTCCGCCCGGGGGCCCGGTGCCTGCTGCTCCGCCCGGGGGCCCGGTGCCTGCTGCTCCGCCCGGGGGCCCGGTGCCTGCTGCTCCGCCTGGTGGCCCGCTGCCTGCTGCTTCGCCTGGTAATCCGATGTGCCTCTGCCCGGAGTCCTGCCCGATGTGCCTCTGCCCGGAGTCCTGCCCGATGTGCCTCTGCCCGGAGTCCTGCCCGATGTGCCTCTGCCCGGAGTGCCTCTGCCCGGAGTCCTGCCCGATGTGCCTCTGCCCGGAGTCCTGCCCGATGTGCCTCTGCCCGGAGTCCTGCCCGATGTGCCTCTGCCCGGAGTCCTGCCCGATGTGCCTCTGCCCGGAGTCCTGCCCGATGTGCCTCTGCCCGGTGTGCCTCTGCTCGATGTGCCTCTGCCCGATGTGCCCGGTGTGCCTCTGCCCGGAGTCCAGCCCGGTGTGCCTCTGCCCGGAGTCCAGCCCGGTGTGCCTCTGCCCGGAGTCCAGCCCGGTGTGCCTCTGCCCGGAGTCCAGCCCGGTGTGCCTCTGCCCGGAGTCCAGCCCGGTGTGCCAGTCTTTAATATCCCGCCAGTTACCAGACCCGGGCGGTGGAACATTTTGCCCAGCTAGGACTGTTTGGAGCGTCCTGAGGCCGCTCCTTGGGGGGGGGGGTACTGTTAGGAATGGACTGGCCAGCAATGGTGGGACTCACCTGCCTTTTGATCTGCAGTACCAGGGCTGGCCAGCGGGTGCTCCCAGCAATCAGAGACTCAACCTTTCAGCCAGCTAACACCTGGAACTGATGATGCTGGGGTATTTAAGGGATGGCCAGACCCACAGACTCTGCCTTGGTGTTGTGTTTGTCCTGGGCCCTGTATCTGTCCTGCATCCTGTTTCTGTCCCTCTGCCTGACCCTCTGTACTACGCTGCTTGTTACCTGTTTTGATCTCTGGCTTGTGACCCTGACCATTCTCTGCTTGCTCCCCCTGTACCTACCTGCCCAATTGATATTGACCCGGCCTGCCTGACGACGCTTGCTTGTATGTACTGTTATCTGTGGGTGGTTTGGTTTGGTTTGTTTGCACTGTATTATGTTTAGTATTGCACTGCGTTTATGTTTGTATGGTTAGTGTTAATAAATTGTATTGTTTACATATCTGAAGTCTGCGTTTCCCTGCATCAGTCACACACCTCTGGTCATACCTGGGAGCCCTGACAGACCCCCCCACTCTTGCTTCAGTGTGTTTGCTTCAGTCTGACTTTGTTTGCCATATACTGTATCTGATCTTTCTTCTACTACCCTGCATCCTGTACCCTGTTGCCTCTTTCCTCCTTCCCTTGTATCTGAACCCGCTTTTTATTCCCCCCATCCATCTGCTCCCTGAAACTCCAGTTTTTCCTGCCTTTCTGTGTTCCCTGTTTTGTATATATTATATATAGTTAGCTGTAAGTTAGGTTTTCTGTTTGTTAGTTATTAGTCAGATATTTTTGTCACTGGGATTTGTGGTTCACTTGTATTTTTATGTTTTCTGTGTGCTGGTGCTTGTTGATGATAATGGTAAACTGGGCAATCAGTGAGGGTAATTCTCCCTTAAAAAAAAATAATTAAAAAAAAAAAAAAAATAAAAAAAATAAAAAAAAAAAAACTTCAATTAAAAAATTAAAAAAAAAATAAAAAAAAAACAAAAATAAAAAACTATAAAATTCTAAAAAAATAAAAAAAAAATAAAAAAAAAAAAAAAAAAAAAACAAAAAAAAAAAAACCACTCTAAAAAAATCGGTAACCAAAAACAGATAAAAAAAAAAAAAAAAAAAAAACTAAAAAAAAAACAATCTGGCCTGCACCCCCCCCCATAAAAAAAAAAACAAAATAATAAAAAAAAAAAAAAAAAACAAAAAAACAAAAAAAAAAAAAAAAAAAAAAAAAAAAAAAAAAAAAAAAAAAATACCCCAAAAAAAATAAAAAAAATTAAAATAAAAACCATTAAAAAAAAAAACAATAAAAAAAAAAAAAAAAAACTAAAAAAAAAATACAAAAACCCCCAAAAAAAAAAAATAAAAAAAAAAACATTCCCAACCAACAAAAAAAAAAAAAATCATCCCCCTAACAAACAAAAAAAAAAAACCAACACCAAAATAAAAAAAAATTAAGCACAAAAATTTTAACCAAAATACTAAAATAAATCTAAAACCAAAAAAAAAAAAAACCAAAAAAATAAAAAAACCTCCCACCAAAAAAACCAAAAAAAAAACCAAACAATCACAAAAAAAAAAATATACACCAAAAAAAAAACCCCAAAAAAAACAAAAAAAAAAAAAAAAACAAAAACCCCCCCTACCTTATCCCTATCCCTCCAACCAACCCCCCCAAACCCCCCCCCCCCCCTATACCCCCTCCGAAAAAACAACCACCCCCCCCCAAAAAGCACCTCACAACAATCACCCCCCTCCCCCAAAACCCCCCCCCCCCCCCCCCCCCCCCCCACCCCCCCCCCCCCCCCCCCCCCCACCCCCCCCCCCCAACCCCCCCCCCCCCCCCCCCCCCCCCCCCTCCCCCCCCCCCCCTCCCCCCCCCCCCCCCCCCCCCCCCCCCCCCCCCCCCCCCCCCCCTCCCCCCCCCCCCCCCAAAAACCCCCCCCCCCCCCCCCCAACCCCCCCCCCCCCCCCACCCCCCCCTCCCCACCCCCCCCCCCCCCCCCCCCCCCCCCTCCCCCCCCCCCCCCCCCCCCCCCCCCCCCCCCCCTACCACCCCCCCCCCCCCCCCCCCCCCCCCCCCCCCCCCCCCCTCCCCCCCCCCCCCCCCCCCCCCCCCCCCCCCCCCCCCCCCCCCCCCCCCCCCCACCCAAAAAATCACCCCACCCCCCCCCCCCCCCCCCCCCCCACCCCCCCCCCCACCCCCCCCCCCCCCCCCCCCCACCCCCACCCCCCCCACCCCCCCCCCCCCTCCCCCCCCCCCCCCCCCCCCCCCCCCCCCCCCCCCCCCCCCCCCCCCCCCCAACAGTGGTAGTTATTCCATAGGTATCAAAACTACACAAAAAACTAAAAAAAAAAAAAATGGTTTATAGTGAAACTGAAGAAATGTAATCTATGGTTGTCTTTAAAATTTATAAAACAATCTGACCTTTCAATCTAAAATCCTAAGCCCGCAAGCCTGTAGAGTGAGGTCCTTAAGTAATGAATGTTTGTTTTTCTCATGTTTTGCAATAATGTATTTTTTTTTTTTTTTACAAGAACCTTTGCTGTCCCTAGGGCAAGTAGCACATAAATACAAGAACCTACCCTCTTTTTGAATGTTGTGAGTTTGCACCAACAGACTCTTTCCTGTTTGGTATATTATGACTTCTATTTGATGTATAAATGTTAAGATACTGATTGCTCCACAAAACAAATTTTACACAAAACAATAAAAAAATAACAAAACAAAAATACAAAAAAAAAAAAAAAAAAAAAAATAACATCAGCCAACTGCTTACTTTTAGTAGCTGAGGAGATACATCAAGCTGCAGGACTACTTCCTGTATCACAACTATAGCATTTGCACTTGTGGCTCCCAAGGCTCTCCTTTTCATTGGATTTTAGAGAATACTCTAATAAGAATACTACCTTTTCATAAGTCCCATAAGATTTTTGACTTTTAAAGGAAATGTCTGGTGAGAATTCAGTTTTTTTTTTTATTTGATGTTAGGTGTATTTTCAAAAATATTAATAAGTGTCTTAAATAATTTTTCATCAAACACAGTGAACAAAAATATCTGTTTATTCACAGTTCTCCAGGGGAGGACTGGCCATCAGTAGCTCTTTGACAAAGATATTTATACTGTGTATAAGGCACACACATGATTGGTCAACAATGTTTACAGATATTAGCATTTGTAATCTTGACTGATTTGAAATAGATTGCCAAGTTTGGTATCTCACAATATAGAGACCAGCAAATAAGGTACAGGGTAACCTTCAACATATGTTGACAGATGGTCATGTCTTAAAATATTCTTAGCTTGCTTGTTTAGCTACATAGGTGGTCACAACACAGGTTTGAACCATATTGTTTAAAACAGCAGTTATAGTATAGTTCTGTATCTTTATTTGATAATCAGATTAATTTCGTTATCAGGGTTTAGTGCTTTTATGTAGGGGGACATGCTGAGAACTTGCAGGCGCTTTCTCCAGCTGCCTATTTGACAGGAGAGATGGCAGTGTCACACTTGTCTGGGAGAATAGGGACTGTGTTATCTGTTGGAGAGAGGATTATGTTCTTTCCTCCTTCTGATAACAGCCTGATGGACCAGGAAGATAGCAGGGAGATGAGGGCACCCACAGAGAGCATACCTTATTCTCAATACAGGCACTCATTGAGAAGTGAAGGCAGACTACCCTTCTTTCTGATTACCCTTGTCATGTGAACACTGTGCCAGGGGCGGACTGACAACTCATGGGGCCCCTGGCAATAGGGGATCATGGGGCCCTTGTGTCCTCCCCCACACTCAAACCACACCCAAAAAAGCCTATGAAAGGAACTAGGGGCATCTCATGGGGCCCCCTACTGACCCTGGGCCCTCGGGCAGTGCCCAAGTGCCTAAATGGTCAGTCCGCCCCTGCACTATGCTAAGAAGGAAAATTGTGAGTACACATAAGATGTGAAAACATCTGTTCACCTTCATAGCCTCCCTCACAGCTCCCATCCCTCTCTTTGTCCAATTAACACTGATGCCAAAGCAATCCTCCTCAGAATGACACCACCACAATGATACAGCTCCATTTTTTTACTCTCACTGTGACTGGCATAGCACCATTTTTCCTCCCACTGACACTAATGCAGGGACAGTTTTTACTTCCAGTGACACAACCAATGCATGGTCTATTTTTTTTTCTCATACTGATGCCAACGCATGTCTTCCTTTGTCAATGATAGCTCCATATTTTATTGCACTTTTTCATCACAAGCTACAACCAACACATGAGTTTATGTGCTACATGCGCTTAGTGACAGGTACCTAAGTATGGTTATCAGTAAGTGTGTTCTGTTAACTGTTGGCAGGCTGTGGAAATTAAGGTTTTTTGTACTTGTCATGTCTTCCCCTGTGTTCAAGTCACTTCCCCTTGTGAGGTGATATACAGGGAAGAATCAGCCTTGTGGTGCAGTCTGGAAACAGGAGTGATGCTGTGAGGGCCCTCTGTATGTCTATGTGATCTGTCAGTGTGGTGGAATAACCATTTAATGGGACTTGGTCACAGGCTTCCGCAAAGATGAACTTTCAGCGTGACTTCTGGAGAGAGAGATGTATGGGCAGCACCATCAGGGAATAGTACATCCTGTTACACAGCACAGCAAAATCCAGTATGTTCTACTAGATGAGAAGGAGCAGTGTAATATGCAAGTGTGCCATGTCACCTAAACTATATTACCTTAACATGTAACTACTATTCTAATAAGTAAACACAATTTCTGCTAAAGAGGAAGTTGCCTGATCTCAATAACTTGAAAGGTGGAACCAAGTGTGTTCAGGCTAAGTGTATTCATGCTGTAGCCAGAGAACAGGGGAGTAGTGAGTTACAGCCATGGTTAACCCACCAGGGTATGAAATAAAGGATGAACAGTATAGTTAACCTTTGCAGTTATGAATCTAAGGGTGAAAATAATAGTTAACCCTTGAGGTATTGAGAATTGGGTAGGGAGAAGCAGAAGCAGTCAGTTGGGGAGAGTGGTGGCTACTGACAAAGGTTCTGTAGAACCTTCCTAGGATCTAAGTCTGGGACCACGCCTGTGCAAGGCCTTGCAGATCTAAATGATGAGGCTTTGCTCTGTGCCTTTAGTTTGAACAAGGTTACAGGGTAAAGTATCATAATAAGTTGGTGTAGAAAAGTTAGTGTTCTCCTCTACCATCTCAAAATTACAATGTAGTCTATTTACAGGACAGGTAGGAATAGACCATGTCACTGACTGAAGAAGTATATGTGGTTCCTAGGTGTGTGGGGCTCTGAAGCCTATGGTCTCCTTTGTCCTGGCACTGCACACAAACAACACCATCATTTGAAGAGTTGATACCTGGATGCATACTTGTGAGACCAATAGGCAAGAATAATTTCTATAATTAAAAACTCTAAAGATGCAGCATCATATAGATAACACTTGAGACCAAAAATAATTTACAACCTCTGATGGGTACTGCCCAAACAATTAATCCTACTTTTTTCTCGGTGCTTTTTGCTTATATAAAAACATTTACTCAGACTTACGATACCTAATAGAAAAACAGTGTCATTTGCTTTCTAATATTTAAAATCCTTACAAACATCTTTGATATTCCTGTGTTTGTTAACATAAATCTGTATAATGAATAAATATCCATTACTGACTTTACATATTCACTATTTATTTTTCTAATGTTTTACTTGCTTCTTATAAATGACCATTAAACTGCCTGTATAAAATATATATCATAAAAGGATGCTGAAATGAAAAATTAAACTATACTATAAGAAAAAAGAAAACTATACTATAACTGAAAATTGGAGTCTATGAAAGTCACATTAACAAAATAATACACCACTTCCTAAAATACTGTTCAGCTTCAGAAAACGTTTGACTACAAGTGAAAATAACTTATCTCCTAGACTCTGCATTTCACTTTATAGTTTTATTATATTATGTATAATGTATTGCTATATTTATCAGTTACAAAATCACTTTATGTAAAAGAAAAATTTTCAACAGTTACATCTGGTATTGAAAGTATTTTACTATTGACATTGTAACATAATTCCAATTATCTGCTTCACATGTGCATTTGTGTGTATATGTGTATGTATGTTTGGTGGTAAGCAATATATGGAATACTACTTCAGATGAAAAAATTCAGCCTATCCCAACAAATGTAGTTGATTGCCCAATACTGAGGGTCCTCATGGCTTAGGGTATCTGTAGAGAAAATGTTTTCCAGATTAAAGCAACTCTGTCACAACATTAAATGACACCCAGATGAACACTGCTCTAATGTAGATATACCATCTCTCCAAGTCCCTGCAGAAAGAGACACCAGGACTGTGAAAATCCTGTGTCCTCACTGAGCACTGTGGTTCCTCCAGCTAAACCCCTATGTCCTGTAGTGACGTTGAGATCAATGAGAGAAATCACAGTCCTCAGTAACACAAAAAATCGGGACTCCTAGTGTTGCTTCTGCAAGAGTTCAATGTCTTTTTATTAAAACAGTGTTCATTGTTATGGGAGATAGAGAATATATGTATTAATTTATGTGTAGGAAGATCCGTTTTCCTAAGTGAAATTGCGTGACATTCACTAAATTCAGGGGAAAAATTCACTTGCAAAATGCAATTTCCTTTTCAAAGTAAACAGCCAATATGCCTTTAGAAATCAGCCCCTTAGTTTTCTGTACCCTTTCTTGCACTTTTTGTAGCAAAGGTATGGTGGCAATAGCCATCATAAATACTACAGTAAGTGAACACACCAAATTATACTCTAAATATTGAAAGCTTTTACAGGTTTCCACATTAAAATGTGTCATTCGTTATTAGTGCAAACTCTTTTTTAGATCAAAGTTTGATTGGATCAAGGTTTTATTGGATTCTAAAGTTTTTATGAATATTTTCTTTATAATAATGCATTGTATCTGATAAAACTGTGTGTAAATTGAAGGGATTTTGTGTTTCTTTATAGAAAATAGTGCTATTTAAAATAAATGTGGAAAGCTTTCTGTAGAGCAATACTATATTGATTACATGAATTAATGTTTGCATACATGATGTGTATGGGGGACACATTCTTCCTTGTTAAACAAAAACTATAGTGATACAGATGTATTTAAGAGGCATAACGGACAACCCCACACTTCCAAGCAGATACATCACTAAGTACTTTCACATGAATATAGGATGGTATTATTTATGCCTCCACTAATAGGGTCAAAATAATCACACACAGTTGGTTATTTATTAAGAAGCAGCTGCTAGAAATAGCCCCTGTAAAAAGTCCTTAAGCATTTTCATTAATGACCCTTTTAGTGTAACAAGCATGAAGGAGCTCTAGCAAGTACGACAAATATAGCACACACCAATATAAACAAGAGGATTATATTTTTTATGATGATTTGCCTTAAAAGCTTACCACATTTCATCCATTACCTCCACAGACTAGCATTATTGAGCATTGAGGCAGAACTCTCCAATGGAGAAAATAACATTTCCATTTGATGTACTGCTCATCTCACATAAAAGCATGAGAATTAAAAATTTTTAAAGGCTTAAAATGTAGATACGCTGTACTATTTTAAGATTTGTGAAAGCATCTATGCTCTCTATATTTTGATTTCCAAAGCTAAAAACAATTAGAAGAATAGTAAGCCCCATGAGTATTTCTTCGTAACTTTTGTGAACCTTTCCACAAACAGGTTCTGTGTATTATGTGCCAGCTAGAATAAAAGCTATCATACTGAACTTAAGCCTAATGCCAAGAACTGCAACTAGTATATAGTGTTCCAATTTTGAAACAGAACATAGCATTGGGTTTTCATTAACTGTAGCAATGAGACTGTCAACCAAGTGGAGGTATCTAGAATTGCCATTTGCTTGAACATAGACTTCCCAGCTGTGTTTGTGTAACTTTCTTTTTGATTGATGTACAGACTTTTCTAGTTTCCCCAAAGGATTTTACTGTTAGAGTAAAGCCAGACGTTGCTCATGAACTAGAATAGATGTTCCTCCCATTCCTTTGTTAAGAATTTCCAAGTCACATTGCACTTCCACTACGTAAATCATTTAATCATGAGGATACCGTGCGTGCCTCAGAGACGCTTTACTTATCAGAACCGATCATGAATGGTGATATGCAAAAGTATGAATATTCATTATTAAATTAGTATAACTGTAGAGTCTTACTTATGACAGATTTATATTTATTTCTTTATGCTTTATTTACTTTTATATGTAAAAAGTGCTCTACGGCACACTAAACTGATATTATACTCACAAGAATAGCATTAAACTGTAAATTCAAGAACAAAAATATAACATATCACAGCTTACCCATCATTAAATGTGGTGGATGCATTAGGTTTCTTTTTCTTTAGGATTTTTACCCTTTATTTTTACTTGCTGATCCTGCCAATAATATTGTTCCAGGTTGACACTGCCAATGACATTGTCAGGAAGCTTACCAATGCTTTCCAGACATCCCTGGGGCAAGAGCATGCAGAGAAATATGGGCTAAAAAAGGCTAGAGGAGATCAGCAACACTTAGAGGCAAAAAAAACTCATAAAAGGTGAAAACAGTATTTTATGACTTGTCATGGAAATTGTTTATGGTATACAGTGCCTCAGAAAACTAAATGTCATCAGTTAGGGTTCAGATTTACTAGGGAGTGATGTGTTTAATTCATAAAGTGTATCCAAACCCAAAAACAAAAAATGTTCAATATTTGTTTCATTTATTTTCACCTAGCTATCTTTCATATAAAACATTTACTGTCCCTGTGGGTTTTATTTCATAAAGCTGGAAAGTGAAAAATCAGATGCTCTTCTGCATAGAAACCAATCAGCTTTCAACCACAGGTTGTTCAATTTTGGCAATACAACCTGGAAGCT